GGATAAATATAAAAAAAAATGTTCAAAACCAAGTGTTACAAGATATTTTATCAAGACACAACTAAGTTTTCTTTTAAACAAATAAGGGTTTTTATTTCATTTTTTAGCCATTCTTACCTGCTCAAGATGTCAACTGAAAGAAAGGTGTAAGAATATATACAGTATAATTGAATTTTTTAAATAATCAGATATTGTTTATATAATAAATACTAGAGACCCAGTGCATGAATTCATGCACCAGTGGGGTCCCTCGGCCTGGCCTGTGGAATAGGGCCAAAACTGCCTCTCCATCCCCCAACAAGGGGTCCCAGATTGCAAGAGGGCACAGGCCAGGCCAAGGGACCCCACCAGTGCACAATCAGGGCCAGGGAGGGACGTGGGAGGTTGGCCAAAGGGGAGGAACCGCAGGAGGGCTCCAGGGTGTGTCTGGCCCATCTTGCTCAGTCCCCATTGGCCAGACTCCAGCAGCAAGCTAATCTACCGGTCAGAGCATCTGCCCCCTGGTGGTCAGTGCACATCATAGTGAGCGGTTGAGAGGCCTTAGCATATCATTAGCATATAATGCTTTGATTGGTTGAACGGCCAACCAGCCGACTGGACACTTAGCATATTAGGCTTTTATTATATAGGTGGGTAATCAAAATTTCTGGAAGGATACACAACAAACAGCAAAGAGGGGCTGGTGGGGGAAGATAGTCCATCATTTTCTATTTGAATTTTTCACCCTAAACATAATTTGAAGTTTTTAATTTTTAATAAAACCAAAATGCAATAAAATGAAATCACTAATTTCTGATTTGGCATGTTTCAGATGCAACAATGTTATGGTAGACTCCATATTTTATGATAAAAAACTTTCTCTAATATAAAATATTACTTAATATCATTACAATAGCTCTCACAGGTTAATATATATGCCTATGCAATTTCTGTTGAAAATGATACAATCTGTCATGGTAAACACAAAAAGACATATTTAAAGAACTCAAATCAGAAAATGTATGCTTTTGTTGTTGTTGTTGTTGTTAATCCTCACCTGAGGATATTTTTCCATTGACTTTTTTTAAGGAGAGTGGAAGAGAGAGGGAAAGACAGAAACATTGATGTGAGAGAAACACATCAATTGGTTGCCTCCTGCATGAGCCCCAGGCCAAGGTACGTGCCCTTGACCGGAATTGAACCCGGGACCCTTTGATCTGCATGCCGACGCTCTATCCACTGAGCGAAACCAGTTAGGGCAGAAAATGTATGCTTTTTAAGAAAAATAGAGGGATAATGGGGCAAGAAAGTGATTTAAAAATAGATCAAGTTTATATTGCCAGACTAAACTGTTTTTCTGAGCTTCAGACCTGTATATCCATTCATTTAATTCATTTCTTACATAAAGGCTCTGGGCTGTGTATGTTCAATTCTTTGTTTCCCAAACTACACTGCCTAGCTAAGTTCTGCATATTGTTCAGATATTAGCTTAAAATTAAGTTCTCAGGAAAGCTTTTCTTATCTCCCAAAAGCAGATTAGGGTTCTCTGATATAATCTTAAAGACTATGTTCCTCAGAGCATGTATCACAATAGTAATTATTTATGTACTCATTCATTTACAGTCTCCTTTCCCAGCTAAAGTGAGAGCTCTACAAAAGTGGAGGTTATATATGTCTTGTTAAACACTGAAAATAAAAGTAAGCTCCAAAGTATTTGGATTCAGCCTTGGTTAAAATTAAAAGAAAATACAATAGAGGTCACCAGTCACAATAGTATAAAATGGAAAGCCTTGAGAGAGAATAACCTTGTTAACCCAAGTATTTGACATTTATAACAGCAAGTATTACTTAGTAAGGAGAAAGAATATACTCACATCCGAAAGACCTCCAAGAACAAAAAGCCAAACAGATGGAGTAAATACCTTAAATTTCTATTTTCAAAAGAATTCAATTTCTGGTTAAATACCTTTTAAATGCTAAAACATCAATGTAAATATGCTAGATCCTAAAGGAAGATCTGCCCTACAATTATGCCTCTTTATCAATAGATCAATATGATTTTAACAAAGATTGCTGATCTCACAGTCCTCAAAAGAAAAAAAAGACAGGAGAGAGAAGTATTTGAGTGTGCGTTGTGGGCACCTTGTCATACTTTTATCTAAGGTTGTCTTTAGGGCACTGCTCTCCCTGCCAGCCTCCTTATCTTCTCAAGGTCTCCTCATAACCTATCAATCTAGCTCACATCAATTTAGCATGAGACCATATATATGCCATAAACGTCTATATATTTCATCACAGGAAATTGTTCAGCCTCACTTTTTGTGGTTTTATACTAAAATATGTTTTACATGTAACACATTTTAAATTTACTTTTAAAAGATTTCATTTTTCACCTGGCCGTCGTGGCTCGGTAGTTGAGCGTCAACCTATGAACCAGGAGGTCATGGTTCGATTCTGGTCAGGTCACAGGCGCGGGTTGCAGGCTCAATCCCCAGTGTGGGGCGTGCAGGAGGCAGCTGATCAATGATTCTCCTTCATTACTGATGTTTCTCTCTCTCTCTCTCTCTGTCTCTCTCTCCTTCCTCTCTGAAATCAATAAAAAATATATATTTTTTAAAAAGACTGCATTTTTGCTGTAACCGGTTTGGCTCAGTGGATAGAGCGTCGGCCTGCGGACTGAAGGGTCCCAAGTTCGATTCCGGTCAAGGGCATGTACCTTGGTTGCGGGCACATCCCCAGTAGGGAGTGTGCAGGAGGCAGCTGATCGATGTTTCTCTCTCATCGATGTTTCTGACTCTCTATCTCTCTCCCTTCCTCCTCTTTAAAAAAAAAAAAATATATTTAAAAAAAAAAAAAAAAAAGACTGCATTTTTCAAAGTCTGGCCACTAACTTGGGTTTTCATCTCTCTACAATGCAAAATTTGTTCAGATATATTTATTAGTGATTATGCTGTGGGCTTAAGCAATTAGGTTATCTATGGTAGATATGTGACTGTTTTCCTAAAATTCCCTTCCACCCCTCTTTCATTATAGATTCACAGTGTAGGTGTTCAGAAGAAGCCACCCCAAGATATGCCTCTGTGCTATGAGAATTATTTTGAGCTAAAGGCAGTCAAGACCTTGCAGACTCAAAAGAAACTTCTGAGTGTTCACTATCTAGAAGAATTTAAATTAGGAGCCTAGCCCACGATAAGACTTATCACTAGAAATGACTTTTTACCTGTGGAGATAACAGGGCAAACTAATAATTACTGAACATGTGCTCTCCCTACAATTACCTTCTGAAGTGCAATACCTCATTCCTAGCTCAGAATGACGTATATCCTTCAATTTCCCTTTCTGTCTCTAAACCTCTCATGTATGTGGGTTCTCTGACTCCCTCATATATGCGGGGCTACCATACATATATATATGTAATTAAATTTGGTTAGTTTCTCCTGTTAATCTATCTCATGTTTATTTGATTAGACCAAGAAAAGAACCTTGAGGTTAAAGTTTTTTCCTCCCCACAACAGTAATCTGGGTGAGACTGAAGCCACTTGACTACAGGACTAGGCCTTGACTATCTACATCAGTCAGGATAATGCACTTCTTTGGCACAGCAACTGGTTCCCAACCATCATGGCCCTCCCTCTGGGCAGGGTGCCTGAGTCAAAGATGGGCAATAAAACAAGCTAAGATGATCTACTTAGAGGATATCTAGTGGATGATGGAGGGAGAATTGGTGACTGGCAAAAAAAAACACAGTAAAGTTGGGAGAGAGATGAGACCCTCTCTTCCTTCCTCAACACAGCTAAGGAAACACCACAGCACTTTTTAGTATTTGTTTAAATTAATACAGATGAATAATTCCAAGACAAATGTGCCTTTCATCATATTATGGTTTATCACAAATAATAATACAGAGTCATTCCAGTGTTTAAAATTTCCGTAAATGGCTTGGGGACCATAATTTAGAAATCCCACTGGAGAAAATGCACTTATGCACTTTTCAAAAGCAGAAGGAATTTTAGTGATGTTTTAATTTATAAAACTACTAAAAATCCAGAGTTTTTTAAATAGTCCAATGTTCTGGTTTTTACAAGCTAACATATCCTATCTAACATAGGCGTTGATTAACATAATGATAAATGCGAGTTGTAATGAAAGGTGTTTTTTTTATATATGTATATTTT